AAACACTCATATGTGAAACAAATTTTCAAATGAAGCAGTGCAGTAAAAAACACATACCTGAAGCGAAAAACAACACAGTGACGCAAAGATTAAATTATGAAATTTCATACCAGTTCCTAATTACAAGTTGACTCTTTAATCAACAATTGAGCATTTTCAGTCAACTACTGTTATTCTGATTTTTTTCTTTAGTTACACATACTGGGGTGTGTATCCAGCGAACGATTACTTTCAAAATTTGCTCGATTGAGAATTTTCAGGATAGCCGAATTGATGACCAGGAAGTTATTTTGCTGTCTGCCGCAAACAATTTACCCAAAGTAATAAATCGCTTGAAACTGAGTATTACTTAAAAACAATACATTGGATTTCTGGTACATTCTTTGAAATGATGAAACAATAGAAGACTTTTAAGTGAAATTGGAAAAAAAAAGTTGACGAATAAATTCCAGTTCAATCAATTATAAAAACTTGAATTGGAAAAGAGGAAATAGTAAAACATTCAAATCCTTTGACAAAGTCAATGGTAGGAAACTAATTAAATTCATAATTAGTTCATAAATGGTAGGAAGCTAAATGACTTCATATTTGACCAGTTTGAAAATGAAGTACTATTTGGTTCAACTGGCAAAAACTGATCTATTAAGAGGTTCATCTGAAATTACCGAATTTGAGCTGACAGAGCTGTGAAGTGCCTTTGAGTTGAATGAGAAAAAAAGCGTAAAACATGGTTTCTAGCACTGTCATGACTAATATTTCTGACGTGAGGATGCCTCATGAAAATGACAACATAAAAATTCATTTTGACAGCAAATATTAGGATTGTTTTGGGAGAGTTAATTAAATGTGACATTCAATAAGTCAAATAACGACCTGAATAAAGTAAAAAACAACGTCTGATTTCACGAAATATTTCCTGTCGAATGAATCATGACGTGTAATGAATGAAATCGTCAATTCCGGACCTGGCATTGGTCTGCTAAAGTGGTTCCTCGCCATAAGAATAATCCATATTTCAGTCTCCCGCAAGGAAGGGATTCACTGAATGGAACTCCCCGCATGGGCGAGGAATTTTGAAGCCTCCAAGCCCTCCGCCCTTCCACTTTTTGTTTTTAGTTTGAGAATGTGATTTTTTGAAGTTTCTCAAGCATTTATTCGATTATAGAGTAAAAATAATGATTGTCGGTGGATATGCGACTGAGAGTTTAATATAGAATTTATTGCCAAATGCAAGTGGAAGCGTGAATATAGTTTAACAATATAATAATTACAATAGTATGACTTTTCAATTAATTACAATATGATCAACAACAATGGATGAAGGACCTACAGAAGCCCTCACAATAATGTAGTCTTCACAGAATATAGTCAGTTAATACAATTAATATACTTCTGAATCACTGATGATAAATTAATCACTTGACGACTTCAACAGGAACTGATAAACTGATTGAACATTATGCACTTGAGCTCTGATATTAAGAGTTCTGTTTGGGTTATATCTTAAATTCTTTGGATTTATATTTTATGTTTTGAGAATGATATTGGACTTGGTTACAATAGCAACGCAGACTGCTTCAAGCAGCGGGTTGCGTCGATGAAGCATTTGAATGTTGTTTTTCGTCGGAGGAGGACAAGAAGCCATTGTAAACGGGTAAAAAACCTAATTATTGTATCATCTGGACCTACGGCTTAGATTAATCAGTGCAATTGAATGAATTGATATGTGACAGAATGTGAATTGAAAAGGCAGACCAGTGCTGACTGTGTGCTTTACAAACTCATGTTGTCGGTATTATTGATGTAACATTTGTTTGGCTCTTTCTTCATCATTGCTACTGAAGTTTGTCATTGCTATCATTAGAATGGTGCCTAAATTTGAAAGAAATTGACTGAACTGTATTCTGAAGCTTCTGCTTCAGCTCTGGCCCCCGGCGCAAACTCTTCGGAAAATTCGTGTCCGATACCTGCTTCAACCCGGGAATTCTAGAATTTTGGCTCCAGTTGCAGCTTCGGTCCCGTACTCTCCAAATTTTCGACCGGTTTCAGCTGTGAAATTTGCTTTGTTTCGGTTCAGCTCCGAGAAAAATTCATCATTCAGGTATTGAATGTTACTGCGATATTTTTCGATGGTGCCGAAAAAAATTTTTTGACAACGGCGCTGGGGTGTTACTGCTTATAACATTCACATATAATATTTGTTAAGATAAATAAATCAGCTGTGGGTCATGACGACGAATTACCGTTGTTTTTCTCATCTGTTTTACAGGAATCCTGCGGCAGCACTCACGGATGATCCGAATTCCGAACACTAAGGCAAGTCTACTAAAAATCCATGTTTGATCACCAACCATATGACTGGTTTACTGGTTTATGAAACTGAATACAGTTTGTAAACTGTTGGAGGACGTGAAGATCTTAACATCCTCTGTGATATTGAGTCTAGAGGAAATTGCTCAGTTCTGTTAGATGCAAATCAATCGATTTGCATCAAAGAGGACTGAGATAGACGATACGACAATATTCAAACGGTTCAGAAGTTCAGATGAAATGCTCAGCATATTAATGCTCTTGAAATAGAATGAGAAAGTGTAATGTGAGCTGTTGCCAATTGAGTGCTTTTCATCTTTGAATTATTTATTTATTTAATCAGCAAATCAAACTCATTACGAGTTTATGCCTCTCTGTTATCACCAATATCACTAATATCACATTCTTCCTTCCTTGGCATTTTTCTTTCCGCGCAGCTAACGATAATAGCGTTTGGAATCATCTGTCTTCATGAAATTCGAATTTGGATTATTGATCTGGCAAGCACAGAGATTTTGGGCTACTCTCCCATATTGCCCAATGATTTCTAGGGAGAGGGACTCAGAAGGAATTCGAAAATACATTCCGATTGATCGATTAAACATTTGTCCAACGATCGTTCAGAGTAGTTGTTTGGAACAACCAAAAGTAGTGAATCAGTAATCCTTCGTCATCAATAATAAACGATTAATGTAACCGAGTAGATCCATGGCAATCGGCGTATCAAGCACCTCACAACCAACCAATAACGAGTGCCTGTTGCCGTAGATAATTTACATAATTAAATCCAGCCGAATACCAAAATCCGTTAAACAATCGCAATGACGAACATTTTGTGGATCGCATAGAGCGATCGACAAATCAACAGCTCACTGTCTAAACGTAATTCCAATCCCTTTGAATTTTGTTGTCGTCTTTTGGTTGTTCACTCATTGTTGAAGTTTATTTTCATAAGTGACCAGTGCTTATTGTTGAAATGATTATCTGTTCTTGAATGATTCAATAAAAACTTTCGACTGTTTAATGGAGTGATGAGGTTTTTGCCATACAAATATGTGGTGCAATTGCAATTACTGAGGGAATGTTCGAAAGTAGCAATTCGCGGACTAATTTTGCTAATTAGCGAAAAATTTCGCAACTTCTCCGATTAGTGGCACTGTTAGCGGAACGTTTTCGCTGCATTTTCGGCGATAATAGCGACAAGGATCTATTTTAGCAGAACAAAAATATTTTTGAAGCGAATCTGCGATTAGTGGGGTCATTTGTATCAGAAGCGTGTCCATCATTTACCATTCTTTAACCTACGTCGATAAAAATGTAAAGGTTGATGAGGATTTCTGGAGAGAAAGGATCACTTAGGAGATCCCTGAATAAGAGAGGTGGCCGGCCCGTCGAGAGATAGTCCTGGTTACACATCTTATTACTTATGCAGATAGTGCATATAAGCATGCCTATAGATGTAAGGTGCGTTATGATATAAGTGATGCGCAAAGATTTTCGACTGTTACGTAGTGACAATTAATTAATTTAAGGCAAAGTTAAACTGAACACATATGATGATTGAAATGTTAATAGATTCGAACAGAAAAGCATTGAAAGATAAGGACAGAGAGAAGAGTTTAAGTATTAGACATATAAGGAATATGATGATGGAAATGAATTAGAGAACGAGAATTGCTTAGTGACAATGTGGCATTTTAGTTGGATACACATCGGCTCAGTGATGATAGTAGACCGGTACGATTGCGTTATGGTTGGTGTGTGTTGATCATTTTAATGATGATAAACGAATCAACGATGAAATAAATGAAGAATAAGTGATTATAGATAGACACGACACAGCGTTCCAAGAGGCGTACGTGCTAATGCAGAATATAAGTGTGCGTGCTTGTTACGTTGAGTTGTTTATAAACATTTGATAACATTGTAAAATTATGGTTAATTGATTTTTGGTCTTGTTACTTAAATTTTGTGATTTTTTTCATTGCATATTCTAATATTCTTCCGGTGTAGTATTAACAGTATAGATGGTTGTGCATATGTGTAATGAGTTCGATTTTCATCCGTAACTACTGGGTTGCACAAGAATAATTTGAGTTGACCATTTATGTGATATTGTATAAAAACATTTTTTGTTATCGTCAGTATTCTTGTTTAATGTTAGGAATCAAGCTGTATGCTAGATAATTCATTTTTTTCCGGAGGTTATATATGTATAAGTTTGTGTTGTGGTGGTTGCTATAATCAAAACGGCATTTCGCTTGTAAGTGCTTGCAATCTAGTAATTCTCCGTGTTCACTGGATTGATAAAGTGAATCAGTAGGATTATGCAATTAACAGTGAATCGGTATGAGCGGGGTTTGATTTTAGTGTTCCACTGAGTAACCTTTTGATTCAGTGGGCTATTAAGATAATTTGACGGGGTTGAACGATCAATTATGAATTTATTTCAACGTTTTTTTTTTAAATAAATTGTGAGCAAGCAAGAATGAAATGTTGTTTGGATTTGACCATCCTGAACTACGAAATTACTGTAGATTTCAAGATTGGTCACTGCTGAAAATTTTTTGAAGTTTAAGCGCACTTGACTGATTGTATTCCAAAAGGGCATCAACTCATCGAATAAATTCGTTTTTATGTCGATTAATAACATGAGTATGATTGGTAGCAGGGACCAACGAATAGCAAAAATGCCATCCTTTGACCCAGGTTACTGTTGAAACTAGCGCTTAAGGCTTTGTCACAGTTCTCCTTTGGTATACGGCGGGCACTACAGAATGTCCATCGAGCATAAGAAAAACCAAATGCTAATCCATTTGATAGTCTTTCGCAGTCTCATCATTTTAATTTTGATTCTTTTCGAGGATTTTAGCCGAGAAAATTCTTTTTTTCATTTTAAGGTGAAATTGGATCGATAAAACATTGACGTTGCCGGATGTGAAATTGCAGAAGTTGGAGCTGTGCGAAGTCATAAAATTAGCGTTCGTATGCCGGATGTTGATATGAACAGCAGTGATACCCAAATGGATTTAGGTTGGGATTAATCGATTTGCCTTTTATTCCCAGAATCCGTCTTGTTTTTCGAACAGAATTATTTGATTTTTTGGTTCACGAGTACGGAATTAGGAGGTAGCACTTGTATGCCAATTCTCGTCGGATTCCAATTCCGCAGCTACAGTGATTACTACTTAATAATTATACTTTCAAGTCGAATGAAATGAAAGTCTGTTTGGCCAACCGAGAAAAATCTAATTTTGAAAAAAATTTCAAGTGTTAATGACGATATTTCAAATTGATTAGTGGTAGTGGTCATTGTTAGTAATGCATATGGTACGTTCAAACTTCGAGCTTTATTTCAGTTGATCCGCTATGTGAACCATGTGCAGTTTGCGGTGATAAATCAACTGGAACACATTATGGAGTTGTCTCATGTAATGGGTGTAAAGTAAGTGCAAAATCTGTTCTTTATCGAACCATTAATTTTATATGTACAATTTTGATGCTTACATTTTAATGTCACATCATCGGAAACATTGCAAAATATATCGTTTGCATTATGTATAAATGTTGATTATTGGGTTGTTGTTCGCTGTTCTGATCCGATATTGGATTCTGTTGCCATTACTGAGTAAAAAATTTTCAACAAGTTCGACCATGTTTTTGTTTGTTCAAAAATCTTTGTGGATAGTTAAAATATACTGTGCAATCATCGATCAGAAATTAGGTTAATAAATAGATTTATTTTCATTTTATAGGGTTTCTTTCGGAGAACGATCCTCAGAAATCAGAAATTTACTTGTCGTTTCAATAAAAGGTGTGTGATTGATAAAAATTTCCGTTGTGCATGTCGCTACTGTCGCTTTCAGAAGTGTGTTGGTGTTGGAATGAAACGAGAAGGTTTATCCATTTGCAGTTTCTCTGTTTTAACTCTCTTTTGCGTGTGAGATTTTATTGCTTTTAAAACGTTTCAGATCCTTTTTTTTGGCTCCATACTTTTACATTCTTGATTTCATCGATTGTATCTGCCCTTTAATCCTCCTTCTGATAAGGATCATCTTCTAACTGCATCGCTTTCGTTAACGTTTCTTATTCGTTTGTCACATGGAATACTTGTTTCAAATTCTGTCTAAAACGATCACAAAATTTTGCATTCCTCATCATGACCAGCAAAAAATTTCAAGATGGAATTGTTTCAAGCTCTAAAACTTCATCAGACTTAGTGTATGAAAACTCGAGGTTGATGGCAGTGATAGGTGATGTCATGATTTGAGTCAAGCAGGCAGTATCATAATGGTGCACTATAAACCGATGTTCATTGCAGCAATACAGTTTGAACGTGATTCAATAGGTTCTCCGAAGAAGCGACGAGAAAGTAACTCACCATGTGCTGGAACGCATCCGCTTGATAGTAATAATGTTAATGGTAGCGCAACACGTTTATCACCAGTTGCAACAAACTCATCAGCAAATACCATACCACGAAATGGTGTTATTGATACGTTAATGGAGATGGAGGCTCGTGTTAGTTCAGAGATGTCAATTCGTTATCGAACATCTGTTATCACTTCATCAGATTCCTTGCATAGTAGTGTTCCAGAAATGGGTGGTTCATCTAGTGCGTTCTCACAACCTTGTCGTCCGTGTACGGTTGACGATCTTAATGAAATCTCTCGAACAACACTTCTTCTCATGGTACGTATGTTTTATGGCATAGAAATTGTTGTGCATTTGACGAATTTTGCATTTTTGTACTTCATAATCGATGACGGTTGTTTACAAATTCTGATTTTGACATCAGTTTGTTTAGTTTTCATATTTCTGGTGAAAATGGATCAGTGTGAGGATTTATTTCACTTCATTCTTAGTGTTTGTATTAATTTATATTTCTTGTTAAAACATCCATTTTTCAATAGAATTGTGTTCATAGAATTCGAAAAAAAGCATCGTTACTAATATGCTTCTCTTTATATGCATCCACTTTTTCTTATAATAAAATTTTGCAGGTAGAATGGGCAAAAAACCTTTCTCCTTTCCCTGATTTGGCCATGGACGATAAAATAATATTATTAAAGAACTATGCCCCACAACATTTGATCCTAATGCCAGCATTCCGCTCTCCTGATACAACTCGTGTTTGTCTATACAACAATACCTATATGAGTCGCGATCAGAGTGCCGAATTGAACGGTTCATTTTTCATTATATGCAATACCTTCGTGAAAATCGGATACAGTTGATTCCTAAAAACTGGTTCCATTCACAGTAATTCGTTTCCAGTTCTGATTTACTTGTGAACGAACTCCGTTTGTTGAATATGAGTCCGTGCCTACTTCAACTGTGACCTTTCAGGCTTTTACATTACTTCTTGTTTAACCAACTCCCTGCTAATTCAGGCAAATATGTTTGTCTAGATTGTGCCAATTAGAAAATGCTTTGAACGGACTTTTTGTTCAGGTTTTGCGGCGTTTAAAACGAGTAACATAACGCCTCGTGTACTCGATGAGATCGTTTGGCCAATGCGTCAATTACAAATGCGAGAAGAAGAGTTTGTATGCCTTAAAGCACTTGCATTCCTTCATCCTGAAGCTAAAGGCCTATCTTCATCTGCTCAGTCTGTACGCTCCTTTCACTGAACCAATTTCTGATCTACTAATTTTAAGATATTTTCATTGCACAAAAATGACCTTATCTATCCTCATTTTGATTTTGATAATTCATACTGTCGTTCAGAAAGGAACTTCATTGAATCTAACAATAAGTGCTCTCGATTAAAATGAGCATTCATGAATTTTTTTAAAGTTTGAATAATTGCGTTGATTTTCAAAAGAATGATTGACTAACAGTAGTTACAGTGAACTAATAAAAATCATTCACAGGTGGTTCGTGAGGCACGCAATCGTGTGTTGAAGGCTTTATATGCTTTCATTGTTGAGCAGTTTCCTGAAGAGGCACCCACTCGTTATGGAAATATTCTGTTATTGGCACCTGCACTGAAGGCATTAACACAACTACTCATCGAAAATATGACACTTACAAAATTTTTCGGCTTGGCTGAAGTGGATTCTCTACTGTCTGAGTTTATTTTGGATGATTTGAACGACCATAATCCAGCACCAGCTTCGTTACAACATCATCTCACTTCATCATTTCCACCAACCTCTACCACAACTACTTGTTCCGATGCTTCAGATTCTCAACAAAGGGTCATGACCATTCTGTAATATCAATTGATTTCATTAATTAACAAGTTACAATAACTGACTTGACAATTTATATGAAACGTTTTCACCTTGAATATGCGTTTATTGTATTAACATATTTTCAGTATTCGTTCCTTTCTGAATTGATCATTGTTTATTGGTCGGTTAGGGAATGCACGTCTTATCCTGTGCTCTGGAAAAGTTTTGATATTATTGGCTGACAGGATGGGGATGTAACATCATTTGATATTTCCCAGAGAATGTAGTTCATGAGCAAAAATTGCGATTACAACCCAAGAAGATTGTTACTTCATGGGGTAGAATTGTTCAGATTCTCACTGTTGTACGATAAAAATTGTAAAACTCAATGCAAAAAAAATCCACTATGTGGTTACCGTCGTTTTGCTGTTCTTGAAATGATTATTTTGCCATGAAGATTGGCTCAATTTGTATGTCAGTTTGGTGATCATATGAAACAGGTTTCGAATGCTTAATATCCATCAGCTAGAAAACTTTCAAGATGTTTGGAGACTTCGAGTTCTGAGTCAATCGCAACATCATTCAAAATTTTGTTTTATACATTTTTGATGATCTGTGCGCTTGTTCAGTTGGGGTATGACTTTCAGTTTTCATGCATCTTAGTTTTGAGCATACAGGAGAAAAGTAAATATCTAACAGTGAAAATGAGGTTTCACATCTCCACTCAACCGATAAAGATTTCATGTGATTTTGTTTTGGAAGTGTTCTCATGTTCATTTTATTTGTAATTTATTTAATATTCTTTGACATTTTCATGTTTTAGACTTTTTTCGTTGAGTGTTCCTTACAAATTTTCATAATTTTCCCAGTCAAAACTTTTCGTTGCACGGTGCCATTCGTTTCCATCATCTTTTTTTATCAGCTGAATAACATCGTCATGTCATGTGCGTTAGTTTCTTGGTTCAACTAAAATGCTTTTGTTCATTTTCGCATCCTCTCAGCTGAGTAACTGCCCTGACTTAATTATCCTCCATCTAGTTTAATGAAAATTTAATTTTATTGTTGCAATAGCTTTCACAATAATTTTTGTTGAATTTCATGCATTGAGAACGTCCAACAAATTTTTGTGAAGAAAACCGATACAAAATCAATTTGATTGATCTCTGCTAAGTGTGGGTGGTCTTATCGAACTCAAATGATTCTTATTCAATTATAACATTTCCTAATGAATCCTGACATTTATCTATTTAAAATTGGCTGTTGTTTACAACATCCCGCGAACGCACCGTTTCATCGAGATTTAGCATATTTCACCACTTTTAAATGGGAATTTTGTGAGTGATCACTATCGTTTTAAATATGTTGTTTCATCTTCGGAAAAGTTCTTTTCAATTTTGTTTTTCTTAAAGTGATGGACATCTAGAATGATGAATATAGCTGAATGCTTTTATACCTTCTCCCTGTCAGGTAAATTACATTACCAAATAGCTGACTCTCTCGTTGGCCACCTACAATCTGATAAGGCAGTGTTCGAGATTACGCGAGCTATTCCAACGATGACGTATGCGTTTTGATTTTTCTTATTTCACTTAGGTGATGTCAAGGGAAACTTGATATGGGTATATGAGCCTGAAAAGGAAGCTTCGTTCAGTATGGTGTGAGTTGTTTAATGAAGCAAATGTTAGCACTTCGTGCATTATGTAACGTTCATTTGTTTGCGTCATCTACTGAATTCAAAAGTTATCTCTTCGCTCCTTGCCACCTTATCGTTATGATCGTGGTATCTGTACTATTTCAGCAAAGATTTTTCTTTTCATTTCTAATGTCAGTAATTTAATCAGTGTATGATTATACTTAATCATCTAGCAGTATCATTTTGTAAATATAATTGTTTTATTCGTGCTCAACTTGTCGTTTATTCATTCGCCCGATGTGTTTGTGTTCCATTATTATGACTATTATTTCGTTTGTAATTATTTGGTCTGATATAATTAACTAGTCTAAACCAACGAGACTGTTCTTTTGGATAATATGAAAGTTCACGGATAATTGTTCTTAAAAGTTGAATCTGTTTATTGTTCAATACAAAATCTTATTCACTAATGAAACATATAACTTTTGTCAGAAATGTTTCTGTGGCACTCTGACTGTGAGCTTATATTGTCCCCTTGAAAGGGGTGAGTATGATCACACCAAATTTTTGCTACAAAGAATGTGAAATTAATTTCGTAAAAGCATTGAGGAGATCATCCAGGCATACATTTTCATGCGCATTGCACATAATGGTCGTCTCAAAATGGGTTAAAACAGTCACGTCATCGTCATCGTAAACAATCATGATATATTTCACTGTGTGAGTGTTTTTTAATAAACTGAGGTAAGAACCAGTTGTCGTTGATTGTACTTCAACTCGAGGAATGCAAATTAAGTTTTTTTTACATCGAATCATAACTCGTCACGATCGAACTACGAAATAGGCAGCAGTGATGAACATGAAAGGATTATCTCAGATCTACTGAAGATTATTTTAATTACCTCAAAATTACCATAAGCATTCAAGACAAGTTTCAACATTTATAACTGTTTCAAAATCGTTGTTTCGTTGAACCTCGAACAACAATCAAGAAGTGATTCATTTTCTGCAGTTCAAGTTACACATACTCAGTTCCTTCTTAACGTTCCTCAACAGTTTGTAACTGATTCTATAATACAGAATGAGAGTATATGTTCCGGACTCAATTGCTTGAAAAATCTGCCTATGCAACTCGACCAGTTCACTTCGTTGGTCTCTGTATGATCACCATGATACCGTTCCGTTGTGTTCAGGTATAATTGCGTTGTATGCTTCTTATGCGTATTATTTACAACTTTTGCATTCACAAGTTGTCTCTGTCAGTCTTTTCGATTTTCATTTCAAGTTAGTCAATGCGTGATAAAATTGCCAGTATGAAAACGAGGTCACGCACGTTGCATAGGAAAACGCATAAAACTATTATTTCAACCAACGCCTAGAAATATTGGTTTTAGGCTAGTCATAATGACCAAATGATATGATTGTTATTGCAAATCAGTGAAAGGCTTATCTGACTTGAGTATTATTCGGAATTATTAATTGAATGAGCAGTTGCTTATCTGTTAAATATCATAATCTTCATTTAGGGATGCCGATTTTAACATCTCTAGTAACGCTACCTGCTAATCAAATGAAGAGTATATATGACTTTACACATTCTCAGCTCTACAGATGTCAGCTATATGAAAAACAGCAATTTACAACAACGAAAAGAATAGCATCTTTTCGAAGCCAGAAAAGTTATGAAACTAAGGTTTCATCTTTTGGAGGAAGGGGGGGGGGGGGGGGGTAGGAATGGTTCATCTGGCTCGCAGGCTTCAGTTCTATTCAACGTGTACTGTACGTTCATGCCACGACAATATATATGAGTACGTTGGCTCGAAATACCTCGATCCTCATTCGAGGATCGCGTTGCTTACCGACTTTTTTTGGCGGTTCAATAGGTACGCATGAACGGAGTTCATTTTTAGTAAAATGATTTGTTGGATTGCGCTAATTTTTGCATTTACGACTAAGTTGTCTTTGTCAATTTGATGTTTCGTGTGGAATTGTCGATTACTACGGATTTTGTGGCTGTGTTTCCGAAGAATGCCTCAGTACGTAGCTTTATCTTTGAAGTGGGTTGATGATGCTGTTCATGGAAAATTGTTCGGAAATGATTGCGATGATGATAATCGATTTGCAGATATCGTGGGAACAATTTCGAAACGAAGTTTCTGATAGTGAGGATATTGACAACAACAATGAAGAGCCAGTAGATGCTTTGGAAATTATTGGGATACGTCGAACAATAGCATATGATGACTTCTTCATAGGACATCTAGTATTGGATATTATGAGTATAGATATCGCACGAGATACACCTCCACCACCAATACAAAAGGTTGAAGTGGATGCACAGTTAAGTTTGTCGATCCAAACTGTGTTCAAGATCCGATGCATCTGTTAACAAAAAGCGATTGCGTTGCTTTCCTGAAGGCAACAAGTTCAATGAAATGTCCTGAAATACTGAAAGTCCTGAGGGAGTTGTGAAAACTCTGATCATATTCTGAACGTTGGAGCACCATTATTGCCTGCATAACGTTTTTTAGATGCATTGTTACAAATTAGGTGAGTGATTAGGTATTAAGTAACAATCACCGGTAGCAGAGAGGTAAATAACACATTAGCAGAAAAAANATTATTATTACTATTATTTATTGATATTATTATTTATTAACATTATCTTAATTATTATTATTTATTCTTATTATTATTTTTTATTATCTATCATTTTGTTATTATTATTATTATTGCTGTTGTTGTTATTATTCAACATCATTGAGTCAGTGTAAGGTGGAAGGACGCACTGGATTATAAGGCGCACTGTCAACGAATAGTCTATTTTCGATTTTTAATAGTCTATTTAATAAAAATAGTCTATTTTTCTTATTTAAAGCGCACCGGACTATAAGGCGCATTAAGGGAAACAAAACAGTCAGATAATCCACCACGATGTACTTATAAACCGTAACGCAGCGCCCTGTACCACACAACGTCGCTTCGAGGTCAGTAACCAGAATTAATCCATATATAAGGTGCACCGTCGTTTTCTGAGAAAATTAAAGGCTTTTAAGTGCACCTTATGGTCCGGAAAATACGTCCTTATCTAATGGATACCTAATCCTGGTGTAGTCGTCAACCTATGCCTATTTCCAAATGTAATCCATCACCATATCTGACCTAACTATCACCACTTATGACACCTGCTTCCCAGGAAACGAATTTATCTCTACTGCATTGATCTATAGTTGAATTCTTGGATATAAACAGCATCAATAGCACAATGAATCGCCAATGAGACGTAATCTGTTTTGTTCTCATATTCCTAACTCCACCTCGTAAATGCAAATGGCATAAAATAAAAAATAATTTGTTAAGCACAAACTGATAATGATAAATCAACTGAAATTGAATGAAATTTGTCATGGAAAAAAATTAATCTGGCATAAGCCGTTAGAAAATAATTATGCTAATTGTAAGACATTTAAACGAAAACAAATTTCATTTTATAACAATCAGTGACAAATCGGATCAAAGATGTTTTGCATTATGAGATAATAGTTATCGTAAAAAAAAGCACGTTTCGCTGACCTTTCATACATTCGAACACTTCGCATAAACCAATAACTTTTGCATTCGCATAAACCAATAACTATCCATTTTAAACGAAAATTGCATCATTTTATGGTAAGAACCCTAACTGAATATTTTGCATCAATTTTACAATTGAGTTCGTTGAGAATACGTGTCATTTGGCTGAGTCTATTCAATAGGGAATCAGCTTACTGCAATCAGCACTTATTTTTGGTTGAAAAAGCCACATATTCATCTAATATTATAGCAGAGGCATTGATTCTGCTGCATTTAAGGATCATGCGCCTTGCAAATAACTTCCGTACGATATACGAGCAGTTCCTGTTTACCATGAAAACTGATCAAAATGAAAAGACATTTTTACGATTGACCAATAAATACGCTTTGTAAATTCAGTGGGCAAATGAGTAGACGAATAACGCGTTACTATATGTAAAATTCCATATCTTCTCTCGTAGTAAGCCTATTTTTAAGATCTTCGTAATTTTACATGCATAGGCATGAACACAAATCGAGGTTGATTCAGTCATGTTGGAGAAGGTCCGAGTTAACTTGTGTGGTAAATAAGAATAAAAATAAACATTAGAATCGGTCTTAGGCCGTGTCCTCACCTTCAAAAGAATGGTGGATGCATGAAATTTCGAGTACCAGCTCATAATTATGGACAAGTCGGATGCTCCATAATGATGGCTTGGAGATGTATCCCTTCGAATGTGACCTCATTACTGTCCTTCAGAAAATTACAGAGCAATAAGCAAATGCTGCCCTTAGTGATAAAGCTAACATAAATATCAGTAGAAGACTAGTAACGAGCAAAACTACAGAGAGAGTCCTGAGCGCAGAAGGAAGTTTTGCTCGAAACTGACGATAGATAGTTTGTCAATTTTGAAACTCGAAAATATTTTAAGCCTGTTTGCATGGATGTCTGATTACAGTGGTAATGAATAAAATGTTGGACTGAAAATATAGGTGTGATAACTAACAGCTAGTCGATGGCTATCGTAACTCGCTGAAAACAATACCGCTTTGGCAGATTGAACGTAATTTGGACATCCTGACTGGGTTCTTTGTGAACGGGAAATTGTTCTATCTGTTTCCGATAGAAACAAGGTGCGCAGAAGTGGTGCAGCATCTCGTTGATAGGATGATTCTACTAATACAGCGTCTCTTTAATAGGGCGATGGAGCAGCTGAACAATCCACCGATGAGTGGCTAATTGCAAATACAAAAAATCTGCTGCGATTTGGTTAGTTCATAAATACTCTGAGTCCTGTTATGCAGAACATATAACTTTTTGAACTTATTTCATACTCAAGTCATCGTTTTCAAAAATGATCGTTCACTTACATTTATTGCCACCCTCTTCTTCAACAAGGTGTTGCAAGAGAGACATTGAGACATTTTGATTAAAGACCTTATTTCCCTTGAGGCGTCCGTAATTATGCGGAATTTCGCAATATGTTTTTCGTGTCTGTAAGAAATTGCTCGAGAATTGTTTACACCTAGCAATCACAACACGTATATATGCCTACGACTGTTTCTGTCCCCCCGTCTTCAGCTGTAGCATTCTCATTTCTAGATTTTTCGAAATACATTTTATTCAGAGTTGCTTCAGAGTGAGTTTAAAAGAGACTGAATGCATAAAAAGATCGAACCAGAAACCAAAAAATTTAATCGTTTTTTTTTACGCTTCATTTATACTAATGGTGAGAAAAATTACATTATCCCCAGCCTTTAAGGAATGCAATCGCTTAACCATAATTTGTGTCAGTTTTCATCAGTAGAATGTTACGTCATCTCCTTTTGCACTTTTGTCTATCGATCTTTTCGGGCTTATCAGTAAAGTTTTTGAGTGACTCAACGTTAGTACTTCATTTAATCAACAATTTTTGTGATAGCTGTCAGCTAAAACTGTACAATTTTCAAATAAAATATAGTCGAGGAAATGATATTTTCATTCATTCTTAGTAGTCAACGAAAATCATCAGACTGAGTGGTTGATCCGTAAGTTCACTGTGAGTTTTAAATAACAAACGACTCGAATCATTTCATTACGTCATGATATTTTCAAATAAATTCGTCATTATTTATATTTACAGTGAAATTTCAAATCTTGTCGATCTGGTTCTTTCTTTATTTCATCATCAATTCATCATCATCACAATTGCCATCAAATGTGTATCTGGATCTGATCTTCGTTAGCCATATTCATGCCACCTACTCTCTGTTTAACCTCTTAAACATTGCGCACCATACTGATGTAAACATTATTTCAAACTAGTTGAAATTTCTGGTAATCGCAATATCTTCTTTTCGTCACTCACTCTCTTTAATGATATCACAGCTGTCTAAGAAAGCAAATGTTTATAGAACAAATTTGAACGAATCTTTCGTGTGTCGCTTTGAGTCGTCCTCAATATTAATCAATCAGTTTACCCTAATATCTGAACACTGATGAATCAGCTGAAATTCGCTTGTACATAATACATCATTCGATTGAGTAGTCGATCTGGCTACGACTCAACAAGCAATGCTATGTATTCAAACGACTCTTCATTGGATGATGCTTCTCGTTTAATTGTCACTCTATTCATCTAGCAATGTGTATGTTTTCCGATCGTCGTCTAGATCTGTACTTGACACCACGTATATGCTTGTTTGTGCCTATCTCAGTTTGTGTTGCTATCTCAGAACAAACGAAAGCGATGCGTTTCGAACACGCAATATAAACAACGCAGGCGCTTGGATGGCCCGTTCGAATGTGTATTAAGAAGTAGAACTATGCTAGAGTATTATCATGTGATGTGACGAGACGAATGCCTTCGTTTTCGTAAGTTACTTTGTTTTTTATTCTTTGTTTTTCTTTGTCTTGAAAGCATTATGTGTGGAATTTCTTTGTCGAAAAGGTAGTTCACCTTCAAGTGTGTAGGTTTCCAGACTGCTGGAAATATGGATGCTGCGTTAGTGGATGAATTCGGCGACGGAATAATTGCGTGAATTATGATCGTATATTTGGAGTTGTCATCGGCCGAAAAGTTGACATAAAAATTACTCTATACATCCGACTGTGCTGCCCACATCGAGACAAAACGATTGCAGTGAAAACAAATTTACACGAATAAAAATGGAATGAGAATGCACATACCTAGCTATTGAAACTTGATCAATTCTTGATTTAATCTTCTGAGTTGTTAATCGTAATGTGCACGGAAAGCCATGCTTAAAATTTAGTGAAAATTGAAAACCAGCGCACTAAAGTTTTCATTTCAGTTCGTTGATTCAGAAGAAGAGAATTTTCATTTGAAACCAATGCATATTTGCACGTTAATACCACATAACAAATATTACATTCATTGATTTGTCTCAGGTTACGTTTGTGTTCTCGTAGTTTTTCGTATTCGTCGACAGTTTTTCCTCTCAGAACAAATTCATGGGGTTTATTCGATTAGTTGAGTTGTTATATGTTATTATTATACGAGCGTATCGCATCTGCGTGATGCACCTGAAGTGCAATCATCTAAAATGCTACTTGCATCCTCACCAGCAGTTATTGCTTCTTTTATCTAAACAAGTTATTAACATTGCAAAAAAACTGTTTGTACGAATGCTTACGCTGTAAAATGGATTGTTAAACGAATACAAGACGGTTACGAAAGAATAATAGTAAGTTTTAAGGTTTTTCTGCATTACAGTTCAGAAAATTACACTTTGACTAAAGTGCCCACATGGGTGGCCTGAACCTGATCTGAAGCCCAGCTCTGGTTTTCAGATCTCTTTCACCACAACTTGGAATTAATCGGGTTCTCGTTATTCATCCATGCAATATTATTTCGGAAATTTTCATGTTGTAATTTCCTCAGTTCCATATTTTCACTTACATTAACGACTAAAAACTGTGATCGTTTTAGCCATTGGTGGCTACGTGAATGAAGCAGATACCTGCAGTTGACTATTGGAAATCATGATTTGTTCAGTACTTTTTTCGGTAGTGTTTGATAAACGAGTTATAATCGAAAGTTTGTTATTCAGTCACACAAATAAGCTGTATGGGTAACACTTCGCATGCGTAGTTTTCTAAATGAATTTTATCCCTCGTTGTGAAACATCCAGTTTATAACTGCTGCATATGTATGAACCGTTGCTAAGACACCATCAAACGCAAACGTACAGCGTTAGCAATAAGGTAACGCGAACGCAATGCTCTGTTTGTGCCAGATGGTGAGAGGAGAACTGGAAAATTTAATCGTTAGCAGTGGTGAATATGAATATGATACGTTATCAAAACACTCTTATCAGTACAGAGCCATTGAATGTATATCGAAATTACTCTGTTTGCTTTTTTCTTTCGTTACTCGATGTTTGTTGTATGCTTGACCAATATTTCTGGCAATTGAGACCGTCTTGCGATGGCTCGTATTAAGACAAGTTACATTTATCTCGCATAATCCCGAGTTTTTCACAAATATGGTAAAAATGATAATCATGCGCACTTGAAACCTTTTATAATGATTTACTGGACGGATAAATGGAAGGAGTTTTCCTTAAATTGAAACGGTAATAACTACCGATGGTGTTTATTTATTTAGTAATTAATTATCTTCGCAATCTTGACATTTATTTTTCATTATTCATCTGAGCGTATATTGGAGTTAAAGTGCCGATAAGCCGGAATATATACCACTGTGTTGCTGCCTGAATGTATATCTTTCTCGACATTTCTCTTACATTAGGTTCTTTCATTAGAATAAGCTAGCTCTCGACTTGCATTCATCATTTTCTCTCACCAAATTAATCCTTATCCAACGTTATATATATATA